GCATCACGTCAGGAATCACGAGCAGAGATATTCTTGCGTGAAATTTTCAATTAATACTGGGTTTTGTTCCGACTGAGACATCCTACTATTACTACGTTGATGTAATCGGTGTACATAATTGACAAATATATATTTAAAAAAAAAAAAATTCGATAAAGGAAAAAATCAATAAAAGAAAATTGTTTTCTGATTACAGCAAAGTTGGATGGTGTGAAAACGTACATGAGGATGAGAAGAGTGCCGAAGCATCTTCAGGTGAAGGTGATCAAATGGTTTGATTATTTATGGTTGACGCAAAAATGCTCAGACGAAGAGAAAGCCGTCAGCTGTCTTCCCGGTAAGTTTTCCTCTGTTCGAAAAAGAAAAATTCTAGATAGAGCAAATATATGTTTGTTTAGTGTAAAAAAAAAAAAAAAAAATTAGAAAAAATTTAAAGATGAAAAAAATAACGAATGAACGTATTTTTCTCGTTATACATATTTATTCCACAGGATTTGCATCATTTTTGCATCATTTGCATAAATGCTTTTACCCCTCTCCTTATTTTTTCTCATACATGTGAATCGCGTGTCAAGATTCATTCCATCGGATTTATTTTTATTTTATTTTTTTTTTTTTCGTTACTGCAATCTTATTTCATCTTGCACTCGCGAGTAAAGTTTTTTTGATTTTTATTTAGACTAAACATCGAAATATAAAGAGATATAAAAATATAATAATATTGTTATAAAATCCCTTTGAGAATATCTTCATCCCTCGACAATAATCAAAAATATCGCGAAACAAAGAGATGAAGAAGTTTTCCAAGTTTTAATCGTAATTGGGATAAACGTTGCAGACAAACTGAAAGCCGAAATCGCGATAAACGTGCACCTGGACACGCTGCGGAGAGTGGAAATATTCCAGAACACGGAGGCTGGCTTCTTGTGCGAGCTAGTTCTCAGATTGCGACCCGTTCTTTTCTCACCTGGCGATTATATTTGTCGCAAAGGTAATAACCATCTCTATTATTTTTTTCCTTTTCTTCTTCCTCCTCTCCTTCCGCTTTTACACGTCGCGACACGTTTTTCCTGGACACTGGAAGCTTCTGGAACGAGAGCAACTGGAACCGCGCCAAAAGATGTATCCTGGCTGGCAGAGGTTCGAAAAACCGATTGCCTACCCTTCCCACTTGGCCTCGTTGCCAATGGCCGTGCCCAGAAGGCGCGCAGTTACGAGCGAGAAATACTTTATTCGAAAGGATAGGCGTATCCGTGAGCGTAAGGAAACGCAAGGAGAGCAGAGTTTCGGACGATGACTGTAGCTTTTCGGTGCGAAAATCTTATCTTCACGTCCGTTTATCAACGGCACGATTTAAGCGAGAAACTGAGTGCGTTTGATAACTCTTAACTGTTAAAACAAACGATAAGAAACTATCATTAAATGTTTGAAAACTTCTCTATGGTTAAATTAGCATTTTTTCGGATAAGTTTCAAGTCATAGAAGATCGATTATCGATCGAGAAGAAAAAAGAGAATTGGAAAGAAAGATTATAGAAAAGAAAGGAATAAATCTCAAATTCGAAATCACCGATTTAAATTTTTTAATTAAAATCGACCGAGCGTCGGAATAGTTTACCGTTGGACACGCGATTGGTCATTGTTTCTCCTTGATAGACTGTGTAAACGAATAGGAGCAGTCGGGCAAATAATGTTCCTTTTTTTCTAAGAAGAAGGAGGAACGAAAGAAACGAAGAGAAGAGAAAGAGAGAAGAGTCGTTGACTCAGCGCTCTTCATCGGCATGGAAACGACCGTCGCACGATCCGTTGGAACAGTCACTGTTTTCTAGATACTTCCATTTGATGGCCGACCTCTTCTCGAAGTGCATCACTGTCGCGCAGTTGGCAAGCTTAGCCCAACTTATGACTGACCGTCACTACTGAAAGACGACAGATGCCGCTACCGTTTCCATACCGTATCCTTCTCTTCTAACGTTCGTTTCGGTTTTTAAAATACGCGATACGTCGTACACCGCAGTTGAAATTAAACCTTACATTTGAAACGTACCAATTATAACAATAATTAAAACTTTATTTCTTAACGGTAATAGGAAAAGTTAATAAGTACACATAACATAGAAAATTAAGTTTTGACATCTCGTGATGTAGGTCTAATCTCCGTTAAGTAATACAACAAGCAGACTAACTAACTAGGATGTTAGGATAAAGGATTGTGACGCGTTAGAAGTAGAGAAGTGTAGAACGTTCAATCGTGATACATAATGCAAAGAGAAAAATCAGTAAATAATTCTTCGCCTTTCACGATCCTCCAATTGATCCTGTTTTTAAAACTTAAGAATTTCTTTTATTATTCCTAATGGAAAATTAATTTTAAAAATTGGTTATTCATATATATTCGTATTATGAAATCTGTTTAAGGTGAGGTAGGGAAGGAGATGTACATAGTGAACAGAGGGCGACTACAGGTGGTGGCCGATAACGGGAAGACAGTTCTCGCTACCCTTAAGGCTGGTTCCTACTTCGGGGAGATCAGCATTCTCAATATGAGGACTGCAGGTAAAGAGTGCGGTAAATATTCCAAGCGGACCAGGGGCCCGTCAGCTGTCCCCTCTCGTGTTTTCACGATCACGTTTATCACGTTTCACGTTCTTACTACTCTGTGAGAGGCAAGCCGTCGAGCCGGTATGAGCCGATCTAAAAACCGAATTTTCTAATAACTCTTCTCTCTCTCTCTCTCTCTCTTTTGTCACTCTTTTACCATTTTATCCGATATTCCATTATTGTTAATTTAATTATTATTGTTAATTTTTCTTCTATTACGATCGATGGTCACGCAACACGAAATAAATAATATTTTTTAATATTTTTATATATTCGACGAAAAATTTTAAATGTTTTAAAATCTATAAATGTAAAGAGTAAATAGATTTTCCAATGCTATGGTATCAATGGTAGCTATTGCCTATTCAAAAGATCTTAACTAACTCACTTTGTTATTCCGATTCGAGTATCTATCCTTTGTTTATCTTTGTCTCTTTCCATTCGTTATCATTAAACAGATTCATCAAATCGCGTTTCAACCTACGTTCGAATTATGTGAAAAATTAACGCGATGAAGATACAATTACGAATTATTAAATAATTATTCTAAGAGATTATTTTTTATTTTTTTTTTTTTTTTGCAAAATATGACGAAACAAAGGGGGGAAAAAAATACACGTTAACGTACGAAAATTGAATGAAAACTTTGAAGGGACGTACGTTGTTTATAATTCCCATGAATATTCACGCTCGTACGAGTCGTCGGGTTTAAAAATTCCATTTAATTCTCTCCTCCATAGTTTCTCTTTTATCTAGGAAGACATATGCTCGAACATAACCTTTTCTTACGTACATGTTGCTATTTTCTTTTTTTTTTTTTTTTTCAATTCGTCGGGAGAACAATAGATGCATGGAATTAAAATGAAATCAATGGCACGAAGTCGTTGCGAGATCGTCGATGCGTATTGAATAAGGCTCGTGACACGTATTGCCCTTTAGCCTTTGCCCCTCTGTTTTTATCGATTATTGTCTTCCAGCCGATAAACCAACACGACCTACTGCAATGTAATGGATATCGTACGAAAATATACGATATTTTATAACGGGAAGCTGTACACGGCCTCGACCGTGATAAAAATACTACCGTGCCGAAAATACGAGCCGCAATGGGAAAAAAAAAAAAAAATCAATC